ATGGGAATAGAGGGCAAGTACCTCAACATAATAAAGGCCATATATGATAAACCCACAGCCAGCATTATACTGAACAGCGAGAAGCTGAAAGCATTTCCACTGAGATCGGGAACCAGACAGGGATGCCCACTCTCCCCACTGTTATTTAACATAGTACTGGAGGTCCTAGCCACGGCAATCAGACAAAACAAAGAAATACAAGGAATCCAGATTGGTAAAGAAGAAGTTAAACTGTCACTATTTGCAGATGATATGATACTGTACATAAAAAACCCTAAAGACTCCACTCCAAAACTACTAGAACTGATATCGGAATACAGCAAAGTTGCAGGATACAAAATCAACACACAGAAATCTGTAGCTTTCCTATACACTAACAACGAATCAATAGAAAGAGAAATCAGGAAAACAATTCCATTCACCATTGCATCAAAAAGAATAAAATACCTAGGAATAAACCTAACCAAGGAAGTGAAAGACTTATACTCTGAAAACTACAAGTCACTCTTAAGAGAAATTAAAGGGGACACTAATAAATGGAAACTCATCCCATGCTCATGGCTAGGAAGAATTAATATCGTCAAAATGGCCATCCTGCCCAAAGCAATATACAGATTTGATGCAATCCCTCTCAAATTACCAGCAACATTCTTCAATGAATTGGAACAAATAATTCAAAAATTCATATGGAAACACCAAAGACCCCGAATAGCCAAAGCAATCCTGAAAAAGAAGAATAAAGTAGGGGGGATCTCACTCCCCAACTTCAAGCTCTACTACAAAGCCATAGTAATCAAGACAATTTGGTACTGGCACAAGAACAGAGCCACAGACCAGTGGAACAGATTAGAGACCCCAGAAATTAACCCAAACATATATGGTCAATTAATATTTGATAAAGGAGCCATGGACATACAATGGCAAAATGACAGTCTCTTCAACAGATGGTGCTGGCAAAACTGGACAGCTACATGTAGGAGAATGAAACTGGACCATTGTCTAACCCCATATACAAAGGTAAACTCAAAATGGATCAAAGACCTGAATGTAAGTCACGAAACCATTAAACTCTTGGAAAAAAACATAGGCAAAAACCTCTTAGACATAAACATGAGTGATCTCTTCTTGAACATATCTCCCCGGGCAAGGAAAACAACAGCAAAAATGAGCAAGTGGGACTACATTAAGCTGAAAAGCTTCTGTACAGCGAAAGACACCATCAATAGAACAAAAAGGAACCCTACAGTATGGGAGAATATATTTGAAAATGACAGATCTGATAAAGGCTTGACGTCCAGAATATATAAAGAGCTCACACGCCTCAACAAACAAAAAACAAATAACCCAATTAAAAAATGGGCAGAGGAACTGAACAGACAGTTCTCCAAAAAAGAAATACAGATGGCCAAGAGACACATGAAAAGATGCTCCACATCGCTAATTATCAGAGAAATGCAAATTAAAACTACAATGAGGTATCACCTCACACCAGTAAGGATAGCTGCCATCCAAAAGACAAACAACAACAAATGTTGGCGAGGCTGTGGAGAAAGGGGAACCCTCCTACACTGCTGGTGGGAATGTAAATTAGTTCAACCATTGTGGAAAGCAGTATGGAGGTGCATCAAAATGCTCAAAACAGACCTACCATTTGACCCAGGAATTCCACTCCTAGGAATTTACCCTAAGAACGCAGCAATCAAGTTTGAGAAAGACAGATGCACTCCTATGTTTATCGCAGCACTATTTACAATAGCCAAGAATTGGAAGCAACCTAAATGTCCATCTGTAGATGAATGGATAAAGAAGATGTGGTACATATACACAATGGAATACTACTCAGCCATAAGAAGTGGAAAAATCCAACCATTTGCAGCAACATGGATGGAGCTGGAGAGTATTATGCTCAGTGAAATAAGCCAAGCGGAGAAAGAGAAATACCAAATGATTTCACTCATCTGAGGAGTATAGGAACAAAGGAAAAACTGAAGGAACAAAACAGCAGCAGAATTACAGAACCCAAAAATGGACTAACAGGTACCAAAGGGAAAGGAACTGGGGAGGATGGGTGGGCAGGGAGGGATAAGGGGGGGGAAGAAGAAGGGGGGTATTAAGATTAGCATGCATGGGGGGGAGGGAGAAAGGGGAGGGTGGGCTGCACAACACAGAGAGGACAAGTAGTGACTCTACCACATTTTGCTAAGCTGATGGACAGTAACCGTAATGTGGTTGTTAGGGGGGACCTGATATAGGGGAGAGCATAGTAAACATAGTATTCTTCAGGTAAGTGTAGATTAAAAATTTAAAAAAAAAAAAGAAAGAAAGAAAGAAAAGGGGGATTACTCCTTAACAGGATAAAACTATTGGTAAATCAAAGATCAACGCATGCTTTAAATATCCTTAATGTTGATCACTTAAAGGGTGTCAGATGATCAGCTATGGAGGTACTCTTTTCTGATAATATTCCTTTCTCTTAATTAAAAAAAAAAAAAAAAAGCAGTTACTGTGTGCTGACCTCCAATGAGTTCTGCACAGTGGTATAGAGGGCATGTCAAAGTGTGGGCAAAGGGTCTGTTTGTTTCTACGCAGAAGATCAAGGCCTAGCTTGGATACCCAGAAAATGAACTAAGATACGATATGAGGAGGAGCTTCCGGCATCAGCACTCTCTGGAGGACTCGTGCCGGGGGATGATCATCAAAAAGCCTCCACAGGGATCCGGACGATGCTGCGGTTGTGGCTGCATCCAGCCCACCGTCTCCTGGACTTGCCATAAGAAGGAGGAGGGAGATGTCTAGGCTGGCATGTGCATACAGTGAGACAACGAATTTGACTGGATCTGTACTGTTGGAACTCAACCAGGAGTTGGGAGGGGTGCAAGTTGTAGCACCCCAAAATCTCATGACTATAGACTATCTATGGTTAAAAGAACATATGGGATGTGAACAGATCCCAGAAATGGGCTGCTTTAATTTGTCTGATGGTTCAAGTACAGTTGGAAAATATCCATCATATCATAGATAAATTTTCACAAATGCCTAGGGTGCCTAAATGGTTTTCTTGGCTTCACTGGAGATGGCTGGTAATTATAGATTTGCTTTGTTTATGTCACCGTATTCCTATTATGTTAATATGTGTGTGCAAATTAGTTAGTAGTTTAAAACCTATACATACTTAAGGTACTATACAAGAAGATATGTCAAAGAAATAATCAATCCTCCCAAGTTTCCTTCATATGCTACATCTATAGCTTTTCTTCTTCCTTCCTAATTACAACCCTTAAATAGAATTCGTGCCTCATATCGAATTTACCGAGTATCATAATTCCTCCAGGTGGTAAAGATACCTCGAGACAAGTGCTGGGCATAGAAGCCACAGGGCATAAATCTGCAAAGAAGTAAAAAGCTAACCTTTGCAAACAATATGGCTTCTCTCTCACTTACCAACTTTACATTTCCCTGTATGGCCCCGGAAGATGACTGGTTAGCCAGAGACGGGTAAGATTCCTCAAGGGAGGAACAACCTAAGACAGGCACAGTCGCAGGGGGGCCATCAGGTGAGAATTTGGGGATCAACAGAGGTGAGGCTCAGAACCTCACCCCCCCTGCTTTGAGAGAAATCTTCTGCATCCGTGGATGTCTTGCTGCCCTTGTCTAGCCTGGATTAATACTTAGTCCATAGGCACACACCTGATCATCTGATCATCTACATTTGCCTTCTTACAGCACTAAACTATGTTTTCTACCTTTATCTTGCATCTACCTACCACTTCAGCATTTTATTAAAAATAAAAATAATAATAATAATAGGAGAAATGTGGGATCAACATATAAATCAAGTACAAAAATCAAATGAATATTCATATTTGACCTGATGGTTTATAGGTCATATTGCATGATCAAAACCGAAAGTTTCTGTGATGAATGCCCTTGTACTGTTCACCATGTAAGAATTTATTCACTCTGTAAGAATTCGTTCACCATGTAAGAACTTGTTCGTTATGCTTCAGAAGATTGGAGACTGACGAGAATTAGGCTTGAGATGGATTAATGATTGTACATTGAGCATTGACCCCCGTATACTGAATTTTATTGTTGTTAACAACCATTTGATCAATAAATATGAGAGATGCCCTCTCAAAAAAAAAAAAAAAAGTACAGTATTTAAATTAGAAGCAGAATCAGATAAGCCTAGAAATCTAGTGAACCTCTATCTTCATTAGGGTTGACAGTAAAGGATGGATTTGATAAAGCTTTCGAATGTTAGAAATGCAGAATTAGTACAAATTTCCCCATTAGTCAGGATATCGCATACTGTGTAGTATACTAGGATGAAAGCAGGTGACTGGATGGTCCCTAAACACTCTTTGTAAAGCACCTAAAAAATCTGCTTAATTTCATCATTTTCAAACGAGTAATGGAGTTGGTCTCTGGGCCTTGGAGTTGCGAGTGGAATCAATTATTTCTTTGAAATCCTCAGATAGTTGTAGCAAGTCATGATGTGGTCATTAGTCTACAGATAATGTACCAGGATTTAGAATTGCCTAGTTGTTTGAATCACCTACAAATTCAGTAAATATTTATTAAGTAAATATGTATCAGGTATGATATCAAGTATTTATGGATGAATAAAATAAACTCCTAACCCTTAAAACTCCATTATAGTCAAACATGTAACAAAACGTATAGCATAAAAATTCGTAACACTTTGAAAAACCAAAATTTCTAAAATGGTTTTATCTAACTTGGCAAATACCAAAATGCAGTATTTACTATATAAACCCCAAACATATAATGAATAGAGTATTTTTTGTTATAATTGCATCCCTATGTCACTCTGTGATAAGAAATATTTCTCTTCTGGCCTAGTACATACATATATATGAAATTATATATATATATGAACTTGATGTACAAATATCTATTTCAGGAATTAGTGCTTAAAAACTACTTTAAAGACAATATTTTTCCCATGTCAGTTGTTATGATAATATAATACTTACTGGGCTGCTCCTTCCCTGAGAAGATTATCATTATTAAGCAGTAACCGAACATCTGCAAAACAAATATTGTGTTTTCTATATTACTATTTTTCTATGTCTGAAATGTCTATGTAATAAATGCATGTATTGGTCATGTATTAACCCTCCATTCCCCTAATATGAGAGCAAGATCAAAACATAAATCTGATGACCAAAATAACCAGAAAAACACAGCACAGTACTAATAAATAATAAAAAATATATATTTTGTGTAGGAAATAGAGAGAAAAATGAAATGAAAATACATGTGATTTTATATCCTTAATAGTCAATGCAGACAGACTGTAATGTTACCTCTAAAGAACTAAAGTGGAGAACAGCTCCAGCAAAAAGATGGTATGATGATAAGATATGCAGAAGACACAGCACTATATCTCTTAGTTTGACAACACTAACATGTGTTTCAAATGAATCTGTCCTACAGAAGAAGCAATTAAACAAGAAATAGCTTGTGAACAGAGTACAGATGTAAGCACTTCTGTCCTCAGACAGCTCATGCTCAAACACAGATGAATGTACTTAGTTTGACATGGATAACTGCTTTATTTGCCTTAGGAATCTAACACTGGTTATTGATTTTAAATTCTGCCCTAATTTTAGACTCAGTTATTATGCCTATTAATCATTAAAACATAACTTTTAAAATAATGTTTTTTATTGGAAAATCCAGTTTGTAAAACAAAGGGAAAAAAACACATTAATTTCACCAAACAAAAATCTACTCTAGGTTTCTTTCATTATTTCTCCTGCACATGTGGCTATTATTTTACACAGTTGCTATCATAAAGCACATACAAAAAATGACCCTAAATTTTTCATTATATGAAAATAACTCAAATAACTTAAGTATCTCCCATTAAATTACGAAACTTGTTACATATAAACATACTATATAGTTCTAGTAAATAGCTTAAAATTGAGCAGCCATTAAAAATTACGTAGATATATATTCATCAACATGGAAATATATCCACAATATAATAAATAATAAAGGGAAAACCCAGCATGTATAGTATTATCAAAGTTATATAATATTATAAAACATGTCTGAAAGACATTGGAAGTACTTCATTCAAACAGAAATAGAGGGTAGAATTTTGTGTGATCTTTAGATTCTTTTTTGCACTTTGGAAATTTTAGAATGACAATGAATCATTTTTACAATAATAAAGCTATTCTAAAAGAAAAAAATATTTCCTATTTACATACCTACTTGCACTAGTAGGCCCTGATTTTAAAAAACAATGTTTTGCTAACCATTAAAATAATACTAATTTGATTTCTAAATTAACTGATTTTAAACAATGGAATCTTCTGCCTAAAAATTATTTTTAAAAATGCAGACATTTATAATTATAGTTATTCCTATCTCACAAAACCAACTGGGAAGTTCTATTTGATAAATACTATTTTTATCTTTGATATTTAAAACATAATTATTCACATGGTATTGCTTAGTAGTGTATCTTTTCCAGTACTGAATGGTAAAATAATCTAAAAGCAGGATCTGTTTTGATCCAGTAATTTTACTCTAGAAAGAAGGTCCATAGTTTTTACCTTAAGGAGTGTACAGTGGAGGAAATAGGAAGGCATAGAATTTGAATTAAAAAAAAAATACTAGGGATTGGCTGTGTTTCCAAGCGAGGCTACATATCAGACCCACATGGTAGAAGATTAAAAAAAAAAAGTATACATTTAAAGACCCAGCCCAGATCTACCAAATCAGTTTCTGAGGATAAAGACCAGAATCTATGATTCTATAGTACCAGAATCTATGATTCTAATCTATGAAATAGCATATGGGAATCACTTAATTGGTAAGATTTTATGACTTTGAAATTCATGGCTTCTCTTGGAATCATTCTGATTCAATGTTATCAACAAAAATAGCAATGAAAATAATCAAATTTGTATTAGATTTCTCCCTAACTCTATAATGCCCTCAGTTAAAACTTACATAATATTCTTTATCCTACTTCTATTCCAAGCTGAGTCCACACTCCAGGCCTACTGAATGGCTCTTCCTAAATTTCCCTCAACACTTAACATTAATTCAACACCAATTTCCAATGAGACTTAGAAAAAACAATTTTTAGGACTCATATATTTTTTAAGGACCTATCTGATTAACACCTTTGGAGGGCATTTAATTCAGGGTAAGACAGTTAAGTGGAAAACTTCGAATTATAACTTATTCTTGGTTCTATGCCTTGTACAGGAGTTTGGGGGCTACTGACTTTAGTGCAGCTTCACCATTATCAATTTAAGTTATGTGCCAACTTTTGGAACCTAAAGAGAAGAGATTCTCTATCTTCTTTAATGCCCCAATCATCAAATGTATTCATGTATATTTAGCTTATAGCAGTTAAATATTAAAACAGAAGTTAAACCCCATATGAAGCATAAGTACTTGTGAATTTTCCCCAACTTCTCAATTCACTGCTTGAGACTTTGTAGTTATCTTAAAAGGCAGAGTAATTTTAATTTCCATATTTTTTACAATGCAGATCTGCCATTCTTTCTCTAAGTGTAGCTCAGTGGTTAAATTTTTTAATGCATAACAATCACCATATATTAATTGTATGTACTAAATCATATATTATTACAGTTGGTGGATGATTAAAGGGATATTTAAGGGTAATTTTTAACTTTATGCAATTTTTCCTGATTTTTTGACTTTCAAAACTTTTCTGAGATGAGATTCCATTATATCTTACATGATGAATGAAAATGAGTGATTAAAAAAATGTTCTCTCTGGAGAAGAATGTTTAAAAAATGGTATTTAAGAGCTATGTGTAAATCAGTTTTAATTTAAGATATGGCAAAGGCCAAATATATATGAAATAGAATAACACATTTAAACTATTTGTGATAGCATACTCTTAAAGCTCCTTAAGAAAAGTTTTGTAGAAAGATTACTGCAGGCCATTTTTCTGGTGATTACTTCAACCATATCATTATTTCTGTTAAAGAGGAGCTACTGTTAGTTTTTCAGCAACCAGGAGACTATACAAGAGTTTATATTTTTGGTCTGTGGGTGAACAATCATAGAAATGTTTGACTATGAGGTTTAAAGAAACTAATTTATGAGATACAATTTAAATAACAAACTGATTTTACATGTGCTGCCATCTAAGCAAGGTGAAAGAAAATGGTGAAACATTGTCCTCCCCTTTGCTGTTCATATTTCTAGCAGGTTTTTCTTCAAAAGAAATTTAAAAATGTATTCCACAATTCTGAAGAACAGTTAAAATTAACCCTCTTAAAAATATTAAATCCTTTAGTTCTTTTTAAAGGATTTAATATTTTTAAGAGGGTTAATTCACTCAAATATAATTATCATACATATCATAAATACACTATATTCTAGCTATTACAAAATGCAGAATGACAAAAATTTTCATTGCAATTCAGAAACTATAGATTTTTTTACATAACTTCCTTAGTTTATTTTGGTTATGTAATTGTAATTTATTCTTTAAAAAAGGAGTGTTTGATCTATCAAGTCTTATGTTATGAATTAAACACTCACCATTAAACACCTCATTAAATTCTCCAGGAGGGGCATGAATGATGAATTTTGCTGCTATACGCACCTATAATAGAAATGAAGATATAAATGTTCCAATGGTATAGGCGTCTGCTAAAATAACCAAAAACCATGCAAAATTATACCACACCAAAGTTCTACTGAAAATGGCTTAAGAAGATTTTAAAGATAGTGACACTTTACTCAAACATCTTAAGTTTAGTAGTTTTTATCATTTAATATTATCACAATATACAGGCTGAACATAGATAAAATAGATAATTCATTTAAGGAATCTAAGCTGCCTATATAGAAACACCTTCTTACAAGCAAATTTTTCTTTTAAATGAAAATTGAAAATAATTATCAATCAAGAAAATTTTGTGTGTGAAGAAATAGATGCAATGAAGAAAACAAAAGTATTTTGGTGTCTATAAAGTAACAAATTACTGAAAAATGTAGAAAAGAAGGGAAGAAAAGGTCTAAATTCAAATTGTTTTTAACATGAGACCTGACTGGATCTTAAGAAGGTTTAGTTCAAAGACAAGCAAGAGATACAAAGTATCAACAGGTGTACTCACAGGCATATTTTAAGAGAAGAAAAGTTATGTTTGATGAAGAAATTAATCACTAATGAAAATACATCTGAGAGCTTAAATGACATGCTTTGAAGGAGTCTCAAGGATTTGTAAGAGCTTTCCACCCATGCCACAGCACCCCCCACACCCTCCGACTAAGCTGTGGTGGTGTCCCTGAAAGTTCCACCCTGGAACAAGTGGGCACAAGTACACACCTGTGGGTCCCACCTCACCCAACTAGAGAGACTGGAAATGAGGCCCCAGAATGCTAAACAACCTTTCCAGGGGATTTTTTAAAAATGCATATTCAAGTATTGAGGGAACATCCATGACAAAAACAAAGCCTTGACTTATTTTCACATTTCCCACTTTACTAGCACTGTTTGTTCTGATGTGTTAACTAAAAATAATAGAAAAGAAAAAAGTTATATATGTTTGTATATAGAGAGAGAGTATGTGTATATGAGCATACATCTAAGTATACATACAGCTTTTAGGAAAGATAAAAAAGAGGTATACAGGGCAAGAATAAAAAAGAGGTATACAGGGCAACATAAGTGACAAGGCCTTAAAAAGTTAAAAAAAAAGTCTAAACAAAAACAAAAATTTTTGTAGTTTGGAACACTAACAAGTTTGAAATAAAATCTATGATTGTTGTTGGATACCACTGAGAGAGAACGGTGATAATGGCTTTAAAAATGGGATTATTTAAATTAGTGTTTACCAAGCACTTTACATGTATTATGTTATTTACTCTTCCAACAACCCTATGAGGTAATTACTATTACACTTGCACATTTTTAGATGAGGCAACTGAAGCAGGAGAGGTTAAGTAACTCAGCCTGATTACTGAATTTATTCAACACATTATGCTGCTTCTCAGATTCCAAACGGTTTTGGTAGAATGAGTAAAATCCTCCTACCAAAACATGAACAGAATGTGACAGTGTAGTACCAAACAACTGCCTCAGTATAAACTCTTTTTTGGTATTAAATTCAATAGCAACAACTTAAGTGAAACAAATTCCTTGAAAGACACAAAAACCAAAGTTCATTCAAAAAGAAATACATAACCTGAGTAGTCTTAGATCTATTAAAGAAACTGAATCTGTTGTTAAAAGGCTTTCAACAAATAAATCTCCAGGTTTTCTTATACTAAACACTTAAATAATTCTACACAAATTTCCTGGAAAAAGAATTGCACCTTACAACTTGCTTTAAGAGAATAGCATTACCCTATATCAAAGACTAGAGACTACAAGAAACACAGCCCACAAACCAAAAATCTCTCATGAACACAGATGCAAAAATCCTCAAAAGAATACTAGCAAATTGTACCCAACAATATATAGGATAACATGTCATGAACAAGTGGGTTTATCCTGGATATGCAGGCTTGTTTCAATATATGAAAAGTCAATGATAAGCAATTTACAGTATCACCTGATTAAAGATGAAAAATCACAGATCATCTCAATAGATGCAAAAAAACTACTTAATAACAGTCAACAATCAATCATGCTAAAAACTCTTAGCAAACTAAGAAAAGTCCTGAATCTGAAAAAAGTACCTACAAAAAAGCTTACAAACTAACATCATTCTTAGTGGTAAAATCTTAGTGCTTTCCCCCTAAAATCAGGAACAAGACAAATATCTGTTCTCACCACTCCTGTTCAACCACATACAGTGGCCTTAATGCAGTAAGAAAAATAAATGAAAGGCATTTCATAAATTAAACTTTCTACTTGCAGACAACATGATTGTTTACAATGAAAAATCAAGGAATCCAAAAGTAAAACCCATAGAAGCACAAAACACTTAGGTATAACTCTTAACAAAATATGCACAGGGTTAGAATGTTGAAGACTACACAAACTAGTGATGAAAGAATCGAAGGAGAGCTAAATAAGTGGAAAGATATATTAAGCTCATGGACTGGAAGACAAAATACTCTGAAAATAACAATTTTTCCCAAACTATTCTAGAGTCAATAGAGGCCCAATCAAAATTCAAGCAGGACTTTTTTGGTATACATCAACAAGCTGATTCTAACATTGATATGCTTTCTATATTATTAGTTCTCAGTACTTGAAGAATGCAAAGAATGAAGATTTTGACCATGTTGTTTTAATACCTCCTCCTTCCAAAATATACGCAAAATTAAAAAATCACTGATGCCCAAAATAACACACACACACACACATATGAACACACACCATAGTATTGCAAAAGTGATTTTAGTAGGAAATTAGAGAATGAAATACATTATTTCACTCCCTTAATGATAAACATGAAGAAGTAAAGGCAAATGAACTAGAATAGTCAGAAAAATTTTGGAAAAAAGAAGAAAAGAATTCACACTACCTGAATTCAAGACTTAATATAAAGCTACACTCATTAAGACAATGTGGTATTGGTAAAGGGATAGAGAGACAATGGAACAGAAGACTCCAAAAGCATACCCATATATATGGCCAAATAATTTTTGACAAAAGTGCAAAAGGCAATTCAATGGAGAAAGGATGTTTTTTCTTTTCAACTAATAATATTCAAATAGTCATGAGCAACAAAAATGAACCTCAATCTGAATGAACTTCACAATTTTGTATTATGTCAAAATGGATCATAGCTCTGAAAGTAAAACATAAATCTTAAAAAAAAAAAATTAGATTCTGGGAAAAAGATGGTGGTGCAAAAAGGCAAGGAATTCGTCCTTCCAAAATCACACAGAACACAAAAATACAGCAAATACAACTATACCTGAAGATGACCTGAAAGCTGTAGAACTGAGTACCTATATCTGGGGAAGAAGAGAATACCTCACAGAAAAGGGTAAAGCGACAATGCCTCTGGCAGAACTAAAGCTCTCCCCACACCCCAGCCCACAGGCAGGAGGAAGAGGAACAGAGCAGGAAGGGCATAGGAGCCCCTCAGGACCACTTAACAACTGGCCCAGGAGATATGATCCAGGAACATGAACTAACATTACATGGTGCTTTCGTGATTAGTGGGGGCTGGACAACAAAGACAGGCAAAACATTCCAAGAGGCTGAGATTCCAGTTGATTGTGGAGAATAGATATGCTCTACTGGCCCCCGAGACAAAAGCAAAGTGGGCTGTTTGAAAGACTTCCCAGCAGCGAGAGGGGTGCCAGAGGAGCAAGGGTTACACAGTTTCTCTGCTCAGGAACAACCAGGAAATTGCCTCTGGGAGCCAGCCCTGTGAGCTCCTTCCTCCTGGCAGGCTCTGGTCTGCTCACCTATGGCCCCCACCATTGCTGTGGGAGGGATGGGGAGGGCGGTATACTCACAGCAGCTCCAGTAGTGCAGCACTAGAAGCTTCTTCCTGCCCATGCAGCCCACTTGACCCAACAGTGGAGGCAGGCGTTGCAGCTCACATAGCCCACCTGATATCAGATCACAAGCCAGAGAGAAAGGAGCCCTGCCCACTGCATGCCAATTGCTGGGGCTCCTGCACAAGAAATTGAGCTTCTGGGCACTAGATGGCATCTCCTCCATAAAGCTATCATTCCAAAGGAAACACTAAAAAAAATGAAAAGGCAGAGCAACTTGGTCCAAACAAAACTACAAGACAAAATAAGAAAGAGGGGTGAGTGAAACTGAAACCACCAATCTTCTTGATAAAGACTTCAAAGTAAGTTATAAACAAGCTCATGGATCTACAGAAAAATATTCAAGATCTCTGGGAGGACCTCAACAGAAAATAGACAACCTCTAAAAAAGTCACTCAGAGCTGAAGACACAGTATCTGAAATGAAAAATACAACGGAAGGATTTACTAGCAGGCTTTCACAAGATGAAGAAGTTGTAAATAGACTGGAAATTTGGGAGCAAGAAAACAATGAAGCCAAAAACAGAGAAAAAAGGATCTCGAAGAATGAACAATAATAAGAGAGCTGTGTGACTAATCCAAATGAAACAATATTCACAAAATAGGGGTACCAGAAGAAGAAGAGAGAGACAAAGGGATAGAAAGTCTCTCTGAGGAAGTAATTGTTGAAAAGCTCCCCAAAAGGCAGGAAAAGACACTCAGGTCATGGAAGCTCAAAGAGCACCAAACAAAACGAACCCTAGGAAAACAACACCAAGACATATAATAATTAAAATGGCAAAGATCAGGGACGAGAACCCTATGAGGTAATTACTATTACACTTGCACATTTTTAGATGAGGCAACTGAAGCAGGAGAGGTTAAGTAACTCAGCCTGATTACTGAATTTATTCAACACATTATGCTGCTTCTCAGATTCCAAACGGTTTTGGTAGAATGAGTAAAATCCTCCTACCAAAACATGAACAGAATGTGACAGTGTAGTACCAAACAACTGCCTCAGTATAAACTCTTTTTTGGTATTAAATTCAATAGCAACAACTTAAGTGAAACAAATTCCTTGAAAGACACAAAAACCAAAGTTCATTCAAAAAGAAATACATAACCTGAGTAGTCTTAGATCTATTAAAGAAACTGA